CGGGTCTATCACTAGGTGATGGGCCTAGGTCGGATCTCGACTAATTCTCCCGTTGACATGTTAGATGGTATTGGCAAGCGAGATAGGATCCCATCGAGCCGTTCCTTCTCCCCGGGGACATCTATGTTGATTGGGTTGCTGCCATTTTGGCTATTCGGGTGGAGTCTTCTCTAGTTAGGACTTTGGATATGGGGACTAAGATGACTTCCCAGAGGCAGAGCAATGGAGCTGAGCCAGTTGAAGAGTTGGATTTCGAGATAGACCCAGAGACGATGTTTAATGTGGTAGAGGGCGTGGGAGTTAGATTTGGTCCTACTGGCCATCCTTTGGCTTTGACAGGGACCTCCATGGCAGCTGGGACTTATATCCCCTGACCATGCTCCTGTTTATGGCGCCTCTCATTTCAGTAGGCTCCCTGCTCGCCTGAGGCTAGAGTCGTAGAGGAGAGTGCCTTACTTTGATTCGGGGAGGATGACTCACTTTGAGGTGTCGAGGATCTTGCCCGATGATTGGCCAAAGTATCTTGTCGACGAGCCCATAAGTCTCCTCTCTTCTATTTTCTAATTTATTGTTTCAGGCTGACCATTGTTCGTTACTGACATCTTTTTATTTTTTTGCAGCTGACCCTCGAGTGGGCTCAGAAGATCTCTATTGCTATAGGGCATCTTCGAACGACCCTTTCTAATGCCCTCACTCGAGAGAGCATTGCCAACACAAAACTGGCGGAGAGGGAGGAGCGGCCGAGGAAACACAAGTAGTGTGATCGCTTTCTTTTGTGTTGGCCCTGGCGGCCGTACTAGTATATTTTGGGTTGGTGTCACCCTATTTTAGGCACCAAATGCCTTTTTGTATGAACAATTATTTTTCTATGTTTGTGATATTTTCTATTCACCTTTGTATATCTGTTCTAATTATCTTATTCGCTTGCACTGAATGCCCAACTCAAGATTGCACTGATTGCCTGTTTATTTGAATGTTTTGGCACCGGTCGCCCTGTTTTGCACTGAATGCCTACATTTTGGTCTGGATTTTCTGGTTTTGGCACTGACTGCCTTATTATAAATGACTAATCTTGCACTGATTTCCTGTCTATTGAGCTTGACTTGAAAGCTGTACTGGCTGCTTGTACCGTGATTACACTAATTGCCTATTCTGAGGGATTGATTTGGAGATTGCACTAACTGCCTGTTCATATTGCACTGATTGCTTGTTTCCCCTGATTATATGGCTAGATGGAGAGCCAAGGTCATGCTAATGAGGAACCGTCCGAATACCAAGGAACAAATCAAGATATTCATTAAGGGGACTCTGCCGACCTTCTATGAAAAACTGTATTATATGCCGTTAACTGAATTTTCTCAAGTTTATGAGGTCGGGACTGCCATCGAGGATAAGATCTAAGAAGACAAGATGTATGGGAACCAGGCCAGAAGCTTTATAAGTTCGAGTTCCAAGGGTCAAGCCAACCAACCAAGACTCTAAGCTCCAACAAGAACACAATAACAACTGCTCTAGATTTGAAAGCGACTAATGTGCCACCAAGGAGACTTTCCAACTTCGACACTCCTCTCTCTTGGGTATTTGAGAAAGCATAATCGGCGGGTCTGTTACGATTGCTTGCACCAAGACCTCCTCCGGACATTTTGCCAAAGAACTACGATCAGAGTGCTTATTGCCAATTCCATCAGGTGAAGGGCCATATAACTGATAATTACTTGAGATTGAGACATGAAATCCAAATCTAATCGACAATGGCAAGGTGACGGATCTAGAAAAATCAAGGCCGATCACGAGGACTAATCCACTTTCAAACTTTAGAAACGTGCTGCTACCTCCTAAGAACTTATATATGGTTGAGTCTGGAAAGACTCCCGAGAAGGTGCTAGCCGAGTTTGAAGAGGAGGAGGAAAGAGAGAGGGAGATGCTTTTGGAGCAAAATTTATGTGATGGTGCTAAATGTTTAAGATAGCGATGAGGAATGGTTAGAACCGAGCGAGCAAGTTTAGGTAGGAAGTGAGGATGAAGTATAAATGAATCCCGTTATTTTGGATATATGGAGTAGTGAGGATGAAAGAGAAGCAAAAGTAGTGAATCATATGACCCGAAGTGGTCGGATCTATCAGTCGGATATGATCAAGCCGAGGAAAGAGAAAGAAAAAGCAAGCTTATTGGAGGTACCAAAGAAGGAAGTAGAAGATGATGCCCTAATGAGACAATTGAAAAGAACCCATGCAAACATAAGCATGCGGGACATGTTGGTATCATCAAACAACACCGAGAGGCTTTACTAAAGCCATGGTGGAGATTTCGGTTTCATCATCCATTTCTCTAGCTGATTTCGTGGGGGATGGTGAACCATGATCCCCTCACTATCACTTTTTCTGATAATGAACTTCCTCCCGAAGGAAGGAATCACACCAAGGCATTGTTTATAAAGGTTGAGGTTAGAGGGAGAGTGACCGAAAATGTAATGATAAATGATGGGTCAGCCCTGAATGTCTGTCCGTTAAAACTGCTTTCCAAGTTCAAGCTAGAATTGTCTGACTTAGATCCTTTAGATGTTGTGATTAAAGCGTATGACGACTCTAAGAGACAAGTAGAGGGCATCTTCAAAATTAAGATCAAGGTAGGGTTGATTGAAAAGGAGACTGAATTTATTTTCATCGATATCCGCCTAACTTTTGCCTTGCTGCTTGGGCGCCCATAGTATCATTCCTTGGGAGGTGTGCCTTCAACGTTACATCAAAAAATCAAGTTTGAATTTAATGGGAAAATCATCATTATACTGCTACTAATGAACGAAGCATAGCTACGCTAAATGTGGATAAGCAGGTTATCCTTCCATGGATTGGTTTCCATGTTGATGTATTGAGCACTGTTATGGGGCTCACCGTCTTCAACATTATGAAGAGGATGACTTATGAGGAAGGAAAAGGACTTGAAATGAATCAACAGGGCATTGAGCTACCTAAAATCCACACTCAAAGAAACCGCATGGGCCTGGGGTACAAAATTGGGAGCACACCATCAAAAACATATGACTGGTTGGGCATTGATGGATGATTCGTCCGTTCAAGTGAGCATTCCTCTCCATGTCTACCAATAGAGCCTTTTTAGCACAATGGAAAGACGTACACTAGTCTAGAGATATTTGCATATGTTATTGATATCTTAGCGGTTGAGCCCAAGAAGTTTGAGGAAGAGAAAGAACAGAAGGAAAAAGAGAAGATACCTGAGAAAGAGGGGGGTTTTGGAGCCACAAGTGGCCAAGGAGAAAAGACAGAAAGAGGAACGAGTAGAGGGGCAAGCTGCCCAAGAAGTGGAGAAGGAAGAGAAGAATAAAGGGAAGGTGAGCACTAAAGAAGAAGAGGACACTGCAGATCGAGTGCAAGAAGCAATCCGGGCCTACATAAAAGAAAGCTTTGAGGAAGCTGATGTCCCTTCTAATGTGTTAATTTCTGTCAAGGAAGAATATGATTGTAATGAACTTTCTCTATTTTTTAATGAAATGAACTTAATTTTGCTTACTTGTTTGATGTCTTTTCTGATGGTTCCATTCATCGAGTAGATAAGCACATGCGCATGTTTGACATTAACTCATCATGCATGCTTGAATTTAATATTGGCACAAAAGATAATCCACGAATTCTATTAATTGGGCCAAACCTAACGCTAGAGTTAAATTGCATGCTTGAATTTAAATATTGGCATCAAAAAGATAACACGAATTCTATTAATTGGGCCAAACAACATAAGCGCTAGAGTTAAACACAAAAATTTCAAAGTTACTCGAATGGACAAAAAAGGAAGCCTTTTATAAATCGAAGTTATGGAAAGATATGCCAGGGATAACAACAGGTCTAATATGCTGAGGCACACAAACCTCTGTTATCCTAGAGCCAAGCCAGTGAAGCAGAAGAGAAGAAAGATTAAAAACCAGAATGGGACCGAGAAATTAAAGAGGAAGTGACCAAACAAATAAGAATGTAGGGTTTTCTTGAGTGGTTCAACTGTCTAGAATGGTTGCGAACATAGTCCCAGTTCCTAGAAATGATGGAGGGGTCAGAATGTGTGTGGACTATAGGGATCTGACTAAGAAAGATGGAGGGGTCAGAATGTGTGTGGACTATAGGGATCTGAACAAAGCATCACCGAAGGATGATTTTCCTCTCCCTCATATTGATATCTTAATTGACAGTGCATCGATGATGGGATGCTACTCCATTATGGATGGGTTTGCAAGGTATAACCAGATTCTTATGGCATTACTAGACAAGGTCAAGACATCATTTATGACAGAGTTTGGTACTTTCTATTATCTGGTGATGCTGTTTGGCTTAAAGAACATTGGGGCTACTTATCAAAGGATGGCAACCACATTATTTCATGACATGATCCACTAGGAGTTAGAGGTGTAAATTGATGATATGATTGTCATGACGAAGACACCAAAAGAGCATAGAACAGCCCTGGAAAAGTTCATGGACTGAGTAATTAAATACAAGCTACAATTGAACCCAAAGAAATGTTTGTTTGGGGTGACTTCCAGGAAAGTGCTAGGATTCGTAGTAGGACCTAAGATAATAGAAATCAATCTAGACAAGATTAAGGTGATCCAAGAAATGGAGCCGCCTAAGACGAAAAAGTAAGTGAGAAGCTTTCTGGGAAAGATTCAATATATCAGCAGGTTCATTTCGAAGTTGTCTATAGTATGTGATCCGAGTTTCAAACTTTTAAGAAAAGATCAGCCGGTACAGTGAAACAATCACTGGCAAGACAGCTGTTGACAAAATCAAGGAATATTTGTCAAGTCCCCCAGTTTTGAGCCCACCAAAGCCAGGGAAACCCTTAATTCTGTACTTGATAGTGGAAGATGCTGGAATTGGAGCCATGTTAGCACAAACTGATGAAGACGGTTTTGAGAAGGCAGTGTATTACTTGAGCAAAAGCTTCTTCCATATGAATAGAAATATAACTTGATTGAAAGAACTTGCTTAGCAATGGTATGGGCTACCACAAAACTTCGACACTATTTTCAGTCTTACAAAGTGATAGCAATATCAAGAATGGATTTGGTCATATATTTATATGGAACACTAGCACTACTGGGAAAACTAGCAAGAAGGCTAATCCTACTATCAGAATTTGATGTTAAATATACCACAAAGAAAACTGTCAAAGGACTAGCAGTTGCTGAATTTTTAGCAGCACATCTAGTTGAAGATAATGAACAGTGGGAGATTGACTTTCCTAACGAATATTTGAGTTTGATAGAAAAGAAAGGTTGGAAGCTCTACTTTGATGATTTAGCTCATAGTAAAGGAGCCAGAGTAGGTGTTTTGCTAGAATCTCCATAAGAAGTTATCTCGATGTTGAAAAGGTTACAATTTGCAGTCAGATGTTGAAAAAGTTACAAAATTTTGCAAAGTCAAACGAATAACATGGTAGAAATATGAAAAGCCTGCCTATTGGGTAGAAGCCTTTGATCGAGCCTGCCTATTTGGGTTAGAAGCTTTGATCGCAATTAAAATTGAAGAAGTTGAGGTTGTTGGTGATTCGAAACTGGTCATCGAGAACGCAAACGGCAATTGGAAAGTCAAAGAAGACAGGCTGAAACCTTACATCGACTACCTACGCATTATTGTTCAAAACTTCAAGGAGGTAACCTTCACATGTACAAGTAGAGTAAACAATCGAGTACTAGATGCCTTGGCTAACTTAGCATCAGTTTGGGAAGAGATTTCGGTAATGCCCAAGAAGCCATTTATGATGTCTACGGGTGGCATCCCATGTTATGAAGGCGAAAAGATTATGGATATTGAGGAGGAAGAGAACCTATGGTTTTATGATGTCCTATAGTGGATGACAAAGAGGGTTTACCCAGATTCAACTACTAGAGATGATAAAAGAGCTATATAATATTTGCCATTACAATTTGTAATCTTAGACGATCAGTTGTACAAAAGAATGTCAGACAGGGTATTGTTAAGATGTATTTCCAGGAAAGAAGATGAAGGGGTTATGGAATAGATCCATGTAGGGGTTTCTGGCATCCACATGAATGGAAAAGCGTTTGCTAAGAAAATCCTCAAACAGGGTTTCTTTTGGGCGATAATGGAAAAGGATCGTATTTGTTTTGTGAAAAGGTACTTCGAATGCCAAATTCATGAAGACTTGAGTCATGTTCCACCTTCAGAATTACATCCTTCTATTCTGCCATGGCCATTTGCAGCTTGAGGGATCAATATCATTGGCAATATTTGACCACCTGCTTCTAACGGATATGAATTTATAGTGGTTGCAGTGGACTATTTCTCAAGATGGGTTGAAGCAGAATCATTTAAGAACATAGGCGCCAAGCAAATGGCCAAATTTATTGAAAAGACTATTTCTCAAGATGGGTTGAAGCAGAATCATTTAAGAACATAGGCGCCAAGCAAATGGCCAAATTTATTGAAAAGAACCTGATATGTAGATACGGAATCCCTCATCATGTTGTGACAGATAATGGAGTTCCGTTCCAAGTAGAAGTAAAAATGCTATCAGAGAAATATGGAATCGAACACCACAAGTCTTCACCTTACAGACCATAAGTTAATGGGGTAGTGGAGGCTGCAAACAAAAACATCAAGAAGACATTAAGGAAGATGGCAGAAAATCACCGTGATTGGGCTAGCAAGCTACAATATGCTTTATTGGGATACCAAACTATAGCCAAATCTACGAATGGGGCAACTGCTTACTCTCTAGTCTATGGAATGAAAGTTGTACTACCTACTGAGATAGAAGTGCAGTCCTTGTGCATAATGATGGAGTCCAAGATTTCAGAATGTCAATGGGCAGAAAATCATTGTCAAGAATTAGCACTCCTAGATGGAAAAAGGCTTGATGCCTGCTTCATGGATCAGTTTTATAAGAGGAAGATAACTAAGCACTTTAACAAAAGATTCCATCCAAAGCTACTTAGAGTAGGGGATTTGGTTCTGAAACAGATGCGACCAAACACTCACAACCAAAGGGGAAAGTTTAAGCCTAACTGGGAGGGCCCATTCCTTATCAAGAAAATGTTTTCCAAAAGTGAAGTGAAGCTATTAGACATGGAAGGGAATGAGTTTACCGAACCAGTCAATATGGATAGGCTGAAGAAATTTTATGTACAGCTTGAAATGTTTATGGCGAATTCTAATTAATAAATTCACCTTTTGTGTTCTTATTAACTTTAAAGTGTGTTATGTTAAGTCTATGTTAATATGCAAATGTTGTGAATTTACTTTGGTGAAATAGAATAGTTGGAAATATATCAAGCATTTTTAAGCAAACAGTCATTTTATCCATAATAAGTGCATATATTACATAAATTGCACATTGTTTAGTATATTTCAAATCAGGAAAAAGCATCTACATGCCAGGTCCTAATAAAAATCTAGCTGTCAACAGATCAGCCGACTCTGAATCAGCACTGACTCCGAAATAAGCCTGTAGGCATGTGCAGTATAAGTCTGAGGAAGAGGTATCGGCCACATCAGAATTGGTTACAATCGTGTGATTAGGCCAGGTGGAAATAAAGAAGAGATAGAAATCGATGTGTAAGAAGGCCACCCTCAAACTGCGTGTAATAAGGGACAATCTGATGACGATCGTACTACTTAGCTACACGGTTGGGATAATATGCAAGTGCCATGTACAATCCATACAGGGGGACACAGGACACAGAGTATGTAAGAGGAAACTATGATTTGCTCTATGGACCAGTAAGGGTAAGTCCATCTGACTCCTTCGGAGGTAAGATCTTGAAAAATAACAGTCCAGTCTACCACAGTCTCGCCAATCAAACAGCGCTGATGTCAGACATAGACTCGCAATCTATAATTGAACATCAAATGGTTCAGTGGTGGAGCCATAACATGTAGCTTCTCAAAAACCCACAACTGCAAATGCAAAGAAAAAAGGAAAAAAAAAAAGAAAAAGAGAAAAGCTCGTTAAGTCGAAAACCCGTAAGGGCGGCTTAAGCAAAAGTTAGAGCATAAAAGAGAAAAGAAAAGAAAATGCATTTACCTGTATGAGAAGTAGAATCCCCATCAAATCGAGCACCAAGCTAGAGTCCTAAGCATGCTCTCCTAGCCAAGTAAATGTCTCTGCCAGAATAAGTGGAAAAGGCATGCGTCGTCTGGCCATCTACTCGATTATGGGCACCACCCTAAGGCTGCCATAGCCATCGACGCCCCTAAGTAGCAAATACTGGCTAAGGAGGCTAAAACAGACAAGTGGAGGCCAGTACAGGATGGTACGGTTCATACCTAAGGCACGATCGATAAGAGGTCACAAGGGCATGACATCAGATCTGAAATTATAAGACGGTATCTTATAAGTCATGAAACCGAAGACAGGCAGAATCAGTGAAGCAAGATTTATACCCAGTCGAGGCACAGTAGGAATTTCTTCAACCACGAGTATTCTCCTAGAAATAATGCTTAGTTCTTTGAATAATGGACAGATTTCGAAGTTGTTATGTCGAAATAAGTTGTCCGAAGGATCAAAATGGTTGATCAACCATTGCAGCAACCTAGGTTGGACCAGAATGTTTCGGTAGTAACTCAGCCCATTAAGTTCGAATGGTGACAGCGAATCCCAATCTTCATGGCTGAGACTGCGGAATAATGCTTCAAATGCGGGTGCTAAGGACCGATCCATAAAGAATGTGGAAGAAATGAGAAGTTTGGGCAAGTCTTTTGAGTGAGAGCTTCATTTGGAAAAGAGAGACAAACTTTTGTAAAGTGAACAAGTTTCATGGGCTTTTATAGCAAAAGAATAAAAGGACAAAGTGACAGCTGGCTGCCACTATAACTCTAGTGGCAAACGCCACTACGTGTGGCGCAAGCCGAATCATAGTGCGCCACACGTAGTGGCGCACGCCACTGGACAGCAGTCAGCTACAGAATATGTCATTCCATTGTTTTTACTTCTCAAAGTTTAAGAAACAATGTAATTATAAGCTATTGTTTTCGTCCCGCCCCCGAGCGACCCGAAAAACGTTCCCTTTTTGTTTTTGATGGGAAAGTGATCTTATTTTGAACAGTGGTGACAAAACATTTTATTGGATACGATGCCGATAAATCGGTCTTATAAAATATTTTTGAGTCGCCACTGACAAAACATTTTTTTATTGGGATACGATGCCGATAAATCCGGTCTTTATAAATATTTTTGGAGTCGCCCACCCATTTAATTTCGGGCAAATTGGGACCGTTTCCAATTTTTATTTTAAAAAATGGGACTCCTTTTAACCCAATTCTATTTAAGGCTTTTTTTAGACTTGGCAGGCGCACCAATGCGGTTCTGGGTAAGGGAATTGGGTACGCCAGCCCGTTTGGAAGCCGACGCGGGAATCCGGCCTCTTTTAACCTTACGTTTCTAATTTATTTTAGTTAGAAAAGCCAAATTATTTTAGAAAAGCCAAATTATTTATTTACTTAAACCCAACCCGAATGAATCGAACCGAGTTCTTATATGGAAAATTATTTAATCATCCCAATCAAATCCAATCTTTGCATCCATAATCATTTAAACCATCCAAATCAAAGCAGTTAAATCGAATAAATAAAAGATCTGCTCTTGCCTTATGGTTAAAGGCAAGCCACAAATCGAACCTAAAATATACATTCTACCCGATTTAAATTCAACCCATAAACCCAAAACCAAAATCATGCATAATTACATTTTAATATTCTAAACTTAATTAAATTGCGATCTATTCATAATTGGTCATTTTCGGATTTATTAGAAAAATTAAATTTATTTTCTGTACAAAAATTTTATTTTTTTGAAAGGGGGGACAAAAAAATTGTTTTCTAGGACCCCTAGGAACAGTCACCGTCACGCAGCTGTTTTTTTGCATAAGAACAGTTGTGCTGACGGACCTGGTTAGCCTGCCGTGACGCAGTTGTTCTCGGGTAAAGAAATTGAAAATTTTGGACATGAACAGTTCCGTCACCGCAATCTGCTAGCTCCGTTTACGGATTTTCTACTGCCTGCCGGTGACCACAACTGCTTCTGCGTCCGAACTCTGTTTTAAATTTTTGTTTAAAGCGTTTTTTATTTAAATATATTTTAGGACAACCTCGAATTGACCAAAAACGAACAGAATACAATTCAAATTAAGATTAAACTACTAAAACCAATAATAAAATAAATTAATTCAATGAATTAAAAACCCCAAAAAGGTGTAAAGGAATTACCTAATCCTCAGATTGAGATTGTAAACGGCTTGATGCCTTAACGGAACAATTGGTTAAGATGCTCCAGAAACTTCGTCAACAAGGCATTTAAATATTCACTCTGTTTCTCTTTCTTAATTTCTCATCTTTTTTCTAGTTTTGATTCACCTTAAAAATTAATATCTAATGGCAATTCTCCTTCAAACTAACCAAAAAGAGCTTCTGCGAGGAGAATGTCAGGCAGCAGGGCGTGGTTTTTTAGGGTTTTCAGATTGTTTCAAAGTTTTTCTCAAAACGTGAGAAAAGATCTATTTATAGAAGTTAGGTTCATATAGCATAGCTGCGTGACGCAGCCCTTACTTTTGCTGCACCAGAGCTGCCCATGTCTTTAATATACAAAACGTCATGTAAGTCTAAACATAGCTGCGTGACGCAGCTTATAAGCTGCGTGACGCAGCTATGAACCTAGTCAGACACTTTAAAATCAGTTTAAGTTTAAATCCTTGGATTAAAGACTTCTAAGATTAGCAGTTAACCCATTCATTCCACATCCTCGTATCATCATTGGATCAGGCGGGCCATAAAAAACATGCGTCAACAGTTGCCCCCCCACTTTATCATTAATTGTGTTTTTAAACGATAATT